TACTAGCTAACCGTAACATAAATTACACTATAGTAAACGTTTCTAAAAAGTCTACACTTGCTAAGCTATTTGGATCTGCCAAATTTCTAAGATCCCATTGTCTCTAAACATTACATAGGGCCTAAAGTTCCCAGATCTGATTAAAAAGTGCACACCAATTTTTTCGCGGCACAACTTTTGGCAGCCAAAAAACCTCAACTTTTTTTGTTTTTCGCTTAAAACTCGAAAACGGTCCATATTTTATGAATAACACTTCTTTAGTAAATTAAAGAAAACACAATCCTGCGTCGATCAAAAGATGAACAAACAAAATCACCCCAATAGAATATTTCTTACAAGCGATCAAAGAAATCCCTTAAGCTCCCCGTCAATTCCTGGACATTCACGGAAATCCTTGAAATCGGATAAATTCCCTATAAATCCTCATAAATCCTTCCGAAATCTTCTTAAATTCTTCCTCATACTTGCTTTTGACACTCCATTCCAATATACTTTACTACCGCGGCTTTCATATAGAAAAACCTACGCTTCGTCACGCACCTTCTCACAGGTATTATAAATTAATAACAATATTTGCAATTGTTATAAATATTTCAAATACTGCGTGGCAATATCGAGTAAAAGAGTAAAACAATTAGAAGCTAAAGTTTATTTTTGAACGAGCCCAAGAAAGCTATTTCAATGACAAAATGCGATTATTATTGAAAGGTAAAAGTGACCGCACGTGCAGATAAGCGCATCAGGTGATTAATCTCTACCTACTTACGTTACCGCCCCTCCATATCAAAAATACAACTTATGACCACATCATTCGATCGTGTTAACGTGAAGTGCAGTGCATATTGTGCGGAATGGTTTCCAAAATTTTCAAATGGTTCGAAGGAGAGTGCCTAGTACCGAAAGCAAGAAAGCTAAGGGTGAATTTTGACAAGCACAGATTAGGTACCGCATAAAATGCAGTAAGTAATTTGGATTTTTACATTTAAACATTGGGCATACAATGCAAAATGATTTTGGAGTTGGACAATGGGTGAAGGGTGTATGGAAACTTACCTCTACACATGTAACTGCCGTTAGTTTAAATCAATCATTTACCAAATCAAAAATTTATACATGACAATTAAGTACAATCATCTTCTATCCAAATTTAAAATTGGAAACATGTGTAATCCATTCCGTCGGCGGCGTAGGTGTTTAGAAGGCTGTTGATAATTTCATTCTTAACAAAAACCGCACTTGACTTTTTATTAATTTTAATAATAATTGTCGCAGAGTTTACTAATTTTGAATTAATTTGATACCAGTGAACCAAATACCTTCGCAAAATGAAATGTCTTGAAATCGAAACATTCAATTGAAGATTATTGTGTCACCTCATGCCTAAATACTGTACGAAAAGGGTGACTAGCAATTTCATTCTTCCTCTCTGTATTCATGTTAAATCCGGGTCCTTATTAGAGGCATTTGATTGGTCCAAAAATTCATTCAATATATCAATGTATTCACAAACTTCTTTAGAGTTGAAGAATCGAAAAGTGGAGATCCATTTTTCGCATTTTTAGACCAGATAATTTTGTCAGCGACCATGACAAATGGAACGATTGAACTTGCGGCTACACCCAGGTTTCGGGCATGCCTTTCTGACCTATCAAATTCCTACCCAAGGAGGTGCTTTTTTGATCCACAAACGACGCCCCTAGGGATGTTGTAAAGCACATTAGAAATGCTGTACAAAATTCAAATTCGTTTACCCATTGCATAAAGACCTGGTTTGGGTAAGTGTAACATCTAAAACGACGGTTTTAGAGATGTTTTAAATTTTGGGGGCTATTTATCAAACGGTGGTAACGCAACCACAAACGATGTTTTTGGGAATAGAAGTTTTGGTGTATTTTTTAACGACAAAGTAGGTACCTTACAATTTATAAATAACTTGAAATAATGTAGAAGGTCGAAAATGTCTAAAATCATTAGTAACTTGAACAAAAAACGTGGTTTTGGCAAGCATTACACCCAAAACAATGTTCTTAGGCACTGTACAAGTTTGGGGTTGCTGTTTTTATGACGCAGCACCTTACAATTTATATGAAAATGAAATACCTACACTTCGCTTGCCATCAGTTAGATAAGGGGTAAGACGGACTGACCTTTTTATGGCTTAAGGCTGGACAGGACGGAGTATGTAAGCCTATTGTCAATCCCCAAATTTGGTTATTTATAATATTAATTTGTAATCGATGGCACAAACATAAACTTAGACCAATTATAATGCACATTTTTTATCTGTATAAACCAAGCGACGCGGCGGAACCTATCTTTTCGCGATTTTGAGGAAAACTTTTAAGTTGTTTTTCCAAGATAACTTATCTATAAATGAAGTTGGAACAATTTCCAAAATTGAGATAAGTTCGTAAACTTAATATCTAGGCAATAACGCCAGGAAAATGTATTTCCTTTTTTCTTTTCCAAAATATGGCACCCTAACAGCCCTCAACGTTACCCTTAAAAAAAAGATTATTTTAACACATATTAGTAAACCCCGGCGTTATTGTCTAGCTAAAGCATTCACCTTTCCCAGGAATATTCGACCCCTTCTTCATCTTCGCTCAGAATTCAGATATCGTGAAACGAAATCACGCGTTTTCAGTGTTCAGCATGAACATGTGATAGGTACATCTGCTCTACCACTTAACCCTTAATATCTTAGTAATAATACATTACATGGAGGTGGAATGAAAAATTAAATTAACAAAGGCAGAAGCTATTGATGACGATAAGAAGAAAACTAAAATACAAGGAAAAGGAAGGAAATTGAGAAAAAAAATGGACGAAAGAAAGACAATGATATTACTGCTGATTATACTGCCTAAGTAACAAAATACCTTGAAAATGGTTTTTAAATGTAGCGCTATTCATATTTTTTTTAAGTTCATTTGAGAGGTCGTTGTATACTTTGGCACTATTATAAGCATAACATCTTTCATACCTGCGTGTAACTCAGTTTTTTAGAAAAGTTGGAAAACATGGGTGTTTATTGATCGCTTTTAACAATTTTTCTATTGGACCGATTTTGTTTGTTCATCCTTTGATCGACGCGGAGTTTTGTTTTCTTTTTTTACTAAAGAAGCGTTATTCATAAAATATGGACCGTTTTTGAGTTTTAGGCGAAAAACTGAAAAAAGTCCAAACATTTTGAGGATCTTTGGCTGCCAAAAGTTGTGCCGGGAAAAAATTGGCGTGCACTCTTCAAATCCATGTTATTTGGACCCAAATGGACCAATTAAAATAATAAAATCTTTTCCTGTCTTACTATTGTTCTGAATTATCTATCATTTAATATGTTTTTAATAGACTGTAAAACTTTGGTAGGTATGTGTTGTTTAATTTTAAACAGTAATCCTGGATGCCACACACTCTGTCAAAAGCCTGGCTTACATGTAGGAATATTGATACACAGTATCTCGTTTTTTCTTCTTTTAGGCTACTGAGTCAGCCAGGGAGAAAGAATTGGAAATGTATAAACTTTTTCAGGTGACGGACAACAATTCTTAAAAAACTTCGTACGAACTTTTACTACTTCACTTGACGATTTAATATCTTAAATCTTTTACTAAGGATGCTTAATTTCTTCTACACACTTTATTACAACACTGACGATGTGCGTTTTTACATGCACAGGGCGACTTCCCTAAAAATTTAGCGTAAAAAATTGTACACGCTTTCAAACCGCGGCAAAAAAGTCCCGTTTTCTCGTTATCTCCAGTATTTAAGGAAACACCACTTCCACCATAAAACAGACTCTCTTCATGAATTTAAAAAAAAAAAAAAACTAGAATAGATAAACGCCATCAACGACGGAACATCTCTACTTCTCAACATGAAACGCGTTCATTATACCGGCATTCTCTTATCAGCGAAAGTACACGTGCGTTAATAATTTTGCCTAACAAAAAACTTCTTATCGCAATTACCAAAGGAAAACCTTTTATAAAACGTACAGGTTTTTAACACCTTATCGAAGTTGAACAACTACAAAGCGATAAAATTTAAACAAGAATTACACATTTAGAAAGATTTCTAAAAGGAAAAAACAAGCACAGATACAAATTCAAGTAAAATAAACCAACTTTGTGTCTAATCACCACCAAGTTGAAATTATACCACATTCAAGGTGGTTCATTATTATGGTTTCTGGTGCTATGGTCAAAGTAACGTCTGAATAACAACAATATACAAAAATTAGGATTTGTTATACACATTGGAGCATCAATTAATTTCGTATTTAATTTTTTTTATTCGCCCTGTCCTGTCATGTATTTTGTAATGTATTCTTAACATCTCCGCAGCACATATCTTGTAGTTACCATTTGAATACGACGTGGTAAGTGGACCTAATAATATTCTTTCGACTTGGGGTTATTCAACAATTTTTTGACACCTTCCACTCTTCTTGGTTACGTAAATACATTTTTATATTCAAAAGTTCCTTCCCATAAAATTGAAACGAAAACCTTAATGATTTAGATCCGCAGGAGAACCCAAAACGTACTGTGGAAATGTTAGGCTTACGTGCATTCGGAAGTAGAAATCGTGGTTGGAAAATGAGAATTGTTGAGCACATATTCGTTTGCAAGTATAATTAAAACAACAATTCCCGTTATACTTAATCCACCTAATTAAGTGAAGTGGTGTACGTAAATGTGTCAAGCTATTCACTTCACAAAAATGTAAATGATAGCGTTACAAGTTCAGTAGTCGATTTATACAAGATAGTACGATTAAACTCTTACTTTTATTGATTATGCTAAAGTAATTACGGCTCTTAAATTTTAAATAAACGCCGAAGAGTGTTTGCTTAATGTGATTGAAACATCTTTTGCTCGGCGCCGATATAATCTTGTCTAATTTCCGTGATCAATTCAAAAAGAGTAATTAAAATGCTCGTCTTTCTTTCACGAAGGCGCTCAATTATTGATTTTAATTTTGATGTTACATTGCAGGCTTACGTTGATTTGGTGAGAGCTTGGGGTTGGAAATCTTTTACGATCATTTATGAAAGTAACGAGGGTTTGGTACGACTCCAGGAGTTATTAAAGGCTCACGGACCTTACGAGTTTCCGATTACAGTGCGGCAATTGGGAGAGGGCCCGGATTATCGGTAAGTCATTTTTGAAATTATACGCTATAGAAGACGACTGCGTCTTGGTAGTAAATTAATATGAGTGAGCTGCGTTCGTTGGCAGCAAATTACCAGACTATGCGTCGCATGTGTGAGAAAGGGGATGAAGTATAAATACGCGGAGCAATTAGTCCTTTTATAAACATTTTTGGGATATATTTGATTGATGAATGTATCCTCAAGTAAATCTAAAAACATTATACAGCTTCGCTTCGACTATTTATGGTATAGAGAGGAATGTTTCAAACAGAAGACGATAACGAGGCCAACGATGATTTAGGGAGTTCTTTTGAACGTTAGATGCGCTCAAAGCTGTTGGAGTTGCTAAGGACGTAGTTTCCAGATTTTCAACTGATTTACAGATTTAACATTTGTATCCAATGGAAGTTGAGATTTATTACAGTTGTTTTGCTCTGCTTATAATTTTAGGGTAAGCAATAAATATTTTATGTTCTACCCTTGCCTATAAATTTGTACTCGAGTCGAATATTTTTTTAATCGCCATTTCATGCTAATGCACGCTTTTATGGGGCAATTGGGAGGAAAACAGCAAATGCAAATCAGTTTATAAAAAACAGTAAATAGCATAAGGTGGAGATTTCGAAAAAATTGAAGGTGATTGGAACTTTCTCACCATTAAGTAACGTCTCACCTAGGTTTATGTGCATTGTATAATTTTCTTTCAATGTGTAGTAAATGTTCATGGCAAGATATTAAAAGCTAATTGCTTAATTTGATTGGCCTGTTTTGATTCATACTGCTGTGACCCTTGAACTTCAGGCTAAATAAAATAAAATAATATTTCAATCCTAGCCTAGCTCTTTAATGCAAATTTTTCTTGGTACAGATCCGCACCCCGACACAGTGGTATGATTTAATTCTGACCTTAAATTCCTGATTCCAGGCAGCAGTGGCCAAGATCAAAATTCTCAATTTCCAAACGGTCCATTATCAAATTATGACAAACACTAAAAATGAACTTTGGGCGGGAATCAATAAAATCAGTTGTGATAAGACTTCTCTCTTTGTCGTTAAAGGGTCCGAATGAATGCACTAACTTGCGAGATTTTACACAAATAGGATTTATTTTACAGTTACACATAAAACCAACCAACATACTCCTCTTGAAATGTTGTTCAACTACAAAATTTATACCAGCAACCAGGAAAAACTTAAAATTAATTACAGTTTTTGAGTCAAAATATCCGATTAACACCAAGTACTAATTACATTATTGGAAACAAATGCACTTCATAACACTTGACACAAAGAACGTGGTTTCTCCTCGAAACGGTTGTAGTGACGTTGTTTACTATATCTCCTTCTTCGCCTTCTTCAAAATACACAAATCAAAAACAAACTCGCCCCGAACTGAAGATAAACTCGACTGCGAAACTATCAAAAGGCGTCCCTAGACGGACTGCACCCCGGTCTCACAATTGACAAGAGGATTCTTCTTTACGCGTCCTCAGGTATTTAAACGATTTTCCCTACTTAATTTGTCCGCCGAATCATTAGCCAATTACATATCCATAGTATCCAAACAAACCAATTTCGAAACCAAATAGACGGCCTTATTGCCGACACGCAAATTGGCACGTGTACAATATTTCCTAGAATTACCTTATCTAAACCAAGATTTGTTTATTGATTAAAACGCCACCTTATCTTTCAACAATTTTTTTTTTTTTTTTTTTTTTCACATTTATTGAGTTTTAATTAAGTAAGACAATATTTTACCCATTTATAAAAAAAAAGAATAACTCAATAGGGCGGAGTTCAGACTGGAGCTACCAAGATAACCCCGTCTGCTCTACCACTCAACCCTTCAACAATATGTATTAATTACAGTGACAAGAACAGCTGTTATTAAAGACCCGGTAAGGAGAGAGAGAAAGAGATAACTATAACTAAGAGTGAAAAGCAAAAGCGCAGACTGCTATCTATAGCTAAAGTACAAAAATTTATAAAAAAGTAAAGAAAGAATGGTGTTGCTAAGCATGTTTCTGTCTTTCAAGGAGTATGAGGTACAATTTCTTTTTGAATGCATAAGAAGATAATTGTTTTAAATCAGTTGGCAATTCATTGTAGAGGTTGGCTATATTATAACTGAAGGAACGTTTAAAAAGTGTCGTTTTATGGTGGGGTATCGTTATTGAAAGCTTATCTCTAATATTTAAATCGTGAACGGAGCTCCTAAAGATTACTTTTTCAAATAAATATGTAGGTGTTCTGGTTTGCAGTATGGTATGGAACAAACAAGCGGAATGCAACAATCTCCTATTACTCATGTTTAGCCAATTCAAGTTCGTTAGCTTATGTGTCACTCGGTCGTATTTACGTATTCCAAATATTAGGCGAAGGCAAGAGTTCTGCATCTTTTGAATTCTCAAGGAATCTCTTTGGTCAATACATGGACCATACACACAGTTACAGTAGTTAAATTGCGACAGTACCAATGCTTCACATAACATTATCTTAATGTTACGATTGATAATGAACCTACTATTAAATATAATCTTAAGATTAATAAAAGCTCTGTTTACAACTAGATCAATGTGTCTTTTGAAGCGTAGCTTAGAGTCTAACATTAAACCAAGGTTTTTATACTTATCAACGATTGGTAATACCGTATCTTTTAACCTAACCATTAATGCATGCTTGTACTTGTCAACAATTAACGATCTACCGAATAACATAACAGCTGATTTTCTACAATTGAGCTGTAGTCCATGCTTTTCAGAGGTTTGCAGAATGTTAGATAAATCAACGCTGAGATGCATATTCACGGTGTCCATATCTAGGCATGCATCAGATGTTTTATATAAGAGTTGCGTATCATCAGCATACATGTGATATGTACAGTGCTTTAGACATTTATGAAAATTTGAAGTGTATAAAATATATAATAGGGGTCCTAACACTGATCCTTGAGGGACACCTGTACGTACTGCTATAGATTTGGACACACATTTATTAAAAACTACACGTTGAGATCTATTGCTAATGTAACTTGAGATAAATTTAGCTGCTGAACTACCAAAACCACTATAATTTAGAATTGCGAAAAGTATATCGTGATTAATTCTGTCAAAGGCTCTGGAGTAATCCAACAAAACGAGAACTAAGATATTTTTACTATCAATAGCGGAAAAAATTGAATCTGTAACTTGTAAAAGAGCTGTCGTGCAACTATGATTTGCCCTAAATCCCGACTGTAAAGATGGTAAAATGCTTTCGCTATTCAAATAATTTTTATTTGCCCAGCCATGATCCTTTCCAGAACCTTCGACAAACAGGGCAATATACTTATGGGTCGCAGATCAGAATATTCTTTCGGGTGTTTAATTTTTGGTAGAGGTATGATTTTGGCAAGTACAAGTACTAATACATCGATTAATAATATGCGTTATTACGTCAGATAGATATGGAAGGCACAAATGTAGCATGTTGAGACTAATCAGATCTTCCCCCACAGATTTCGATTTTAATTTATATAAACAATTAAGAACTTCTGATTCCGTGGTAGCCACAAAGTTAAATCTATGTTTCAGATCCCTACAATTATTATTATAAAAGTGCAAAAAATTACCTTTATCTTTTCTAAAATAAGTGAGAAGCTCAATAAATCAGATCCAAGGTGTCACAAACGCAACAAAATTTAAGAAAAAATGTTGTTAATCCTAGTCAATTCTAAGAAATATTCTAGCTTTTACAATGAAAGTAAACAAATCTTACCTTGACTACTGGCTCGAATAGCAAAACTGCCTTGTGTTAATTCGGAAATCATCCCAATGAAATTGATTGGCAAGAATTTTAATGAAACATTTAACTTAGAACGCCAAAATTCATTTTAAATGCCTTGTTTCAAACATCAATGTCCCAATCTGTACACATCTGTACTTTTCCCATTTCAAAAAATAGCCTTTATACTTATATACAGAGATTATTAAGAAATCTTCGCAGTCTAGGGTCCTAATTTGACCCCACCGTTTTGAGATAGGGCGTAGAGTCGACGTAAATGAGGTTCTTCGATTGAAAAAAATTATACAGTGTTAACAATTTCAGTACGGGCTCTTTACAGATAAGTAAAGGTTGCTGTGTGCTGATCCCAGGATAAAAAGGACCATACTCAAAACGCTTCAAACCTAGCTAGCTCAAGGATTATAATTTTTCCCGGTACAGATCCTCACCCCAATTCAAAAAATAATTTAACTCTGAGCTCAATTATTTTTCTTATTTCCGGCAGACAGTGGGCAAAGAGTATGTAACTCAATTTTGACTAACTCGCAAAACGAACTTTAGGCGAAAAGCTACTAAAATTAATCGTAATTTCAACATGAAACTTCTCTGTTCGTCGTTAATGAAGGGTCCGAATTAACACACAACTTTCGAGAAATTACACAGATAACTTTTATTTTACACACAAGATAAACAACAGAAAAACAACCATTACAGTCCTGTTAAAATGGATAGTGTTCAGAACAATATTACAAGAAACTACCAACTAAAACTTAAAATTACCTACAAGTTTCTTCTTCAAGACAAAATATTCAAATGAGGTTCGTACATCACACTAATCTCTAATTAAACTAATTGAGACTACAGACCCCAGACACCTGATGAACCGTGACCGTGGCAAGGACTAACGTGGTCCTTCAGCTCTTCTTCTCCGACGTAATCGTAGTAAAGTTGATCCTTATTTTACTTTAACGTAATAGCCATCAAACTTGAATCAGCCGTCCCAACGCTTCAACAAAATGACTATGCATACACAAAAAAAACCGCTTTCGAAAACAGCACAAACGAAATCCAGACCGACCTCTAACTGAAAAACAAAACTCCAACTTGATTACTGTTTTTCTTCCAACTCAAAACGTAGTCGGCCACGAAACTGGGCTAAATTAAACTCCTTATTCTCTTCTAACGAGCGGCATTGGAAGGTGGCAAACAGACTTCTAATAATCGAACCGAAAACT